GTATGCGTCTTCTGCAATGGATTTGTTTTTATTGCCTATGAGGCCATCTTAATTTAACACAATTGCCTTCACCATTTCCCCCTGGCCAAAGGTATGCTATTCATTCATTACCTCTGGTGAAGCTTTGAGCTATTACATTCAGCCATCGGAGAGGCTGAGTATGGCTCCCTTGAGCCCTCTCATGCAAATCTGACACTTTGGTTTAATGCGGGCACTGTAGTATCTCTGAGGTAAATCCCTTCTAGTAGTTTGCTGCTTTAAATGAAGTCAAACTAATTGTAATTTCCCCTGATAGCAAATTAATCAATTTTAACTATATACAACCCACTGCCTAATTTTGAAATAAGTATTACATTTTTTTCTGATATTGTATTGGGAGTAAGTGTTTTGCTCACTACGCATGTGCTGACTGTATCTCGAACAAATCATCACAATAATAATATCATAGTAATGTTTTTTTTTAATCACAATATGAAATTGTATTGTAATGTATTTATCGATATTGATTAGGCCTATATTAACAATAAAACAAATCACTGTGTAATGTGAAAGGGGTAAACATATAAACATAAGTAATCGCTTTATGAGGGAAATATGGGGTGGGCTATATATATATATATATATATATGTAGGCTAGGTTATGTCTGTCGGCTTGTTTTGGAGTTCTGCCCCCTAATGGCCAAAAATTGATAAATGCAGCTTTAAAAAGCCAGAAAGAAAAAATGAGGATAAAAAAAAAAAGAAAAAGATAATTGTGGCCAAAGCTCTAATATTAATGACATGTGCATTTAGAGATCTTAATTTACATTTAATCATTGTACACACCTGCAGGACACAGAGACATGTTCATGCCAGTCAGCGCATACTCCAGAAATACTGAAAATCCAATTCAATTACTAAGGCGGTGAAACTCTGACAGTCATTCCCTTCCCTCCAGTAAAGCTTGTTTCACGGTGACAGAACCACAGAGAAACAGATTCACAGTACCTGTTGAAGTGCACCTTTGCTGACCACCTCAGTCAGACGAACGCGCAGCCAGGCAGTCTACAGCACTCATCTAACAATAGCCACAGAAAAACAGCCCACCATGTCCCCCACTGATCAGCTTGGGGGAAAGGAAAATGGTAACTATACTCCCTCTCTCTTTTCCTCCTTCTCTCCCTTTAATGACCTTCATCTTTGATCCGCTAACACTCCCTCTGCCTTTCCTCTTCTGGTCATCCCCTAACCCTTTCCACAGCCAGCTATAGAGTAGAACTGGCACAAGTCAACTACTTGTGGACTCGATAGGTCGGCCAACACATGCTGAGTCATGTCTAAGCAACCATGCTCCTATCTCACAAAGTGGTTCTGACCAGCAGACAGCCGACAGGATTATGCTGATGAAAATATGTGTTATTTTTATATAATAAATAATTAAATTGCAAGGTGCTTGGCTGCTGTGCTGTGTCATGAGTCACAGCAGCATAAACAACTCTACAGCTCTGTAATTACTCTAAATAAACAACTCACTGGTCAATAGTTATGTTCCATGCTGCCCTCTGATAAAAAACAACAACAAAAAAAAAAACATCTGCCGATCTAAATCTGATTGTGTCAAAATTGTTTTTATATATGGTTATAGAAAAAGCTGTCTATTCACAGCTTCTCTCCTTTTACTGGACACATTTCAGTCCAGTTTCACAGCAGATCTGAGTCAGCTCCCCTCAGGGTAACAAATGATTTATTGGCGTTTCGGACTCTGACCATCACGCAATTTTGACAAAATCCATCATTCTTTTCTCTTGCATTATCTCGGTCATGTTGTTGGATCATTCAGGATCAGGCTTTGCAGTGGTTTGGCTCTTACCTACAAGACTGATGAATTATGGACAGAAATGATTACTGTTTTTTCTCCTCTCTCTACAAGGGTCCATTTTAGAGCCAATTCTATTCTCATGAAATATGATTCCAGTGGGATCTATTTTCAGATATTGCAACATTTCCTATCCTGGTTACACTGAGAGTACGGAGCTGAACATAAACATACTCCTTTTTGTGTTTTGGAGATTTCAGTGCTTGAAAACAGAAATAGATCATAAGTCCTGACCTTTGAGCCTTCGAGTCCCAACTATTCATTAGAAGCTTTTTCCAATTCAGGACTAAAGAGACATTAAAACACTTTCTCTCATTTAGGAGCCTGTAGATTGTTTTACACGTCTACATATTTTTGTCTATTGATTACTGTAAGTCTCTCTGTCTGAAGGACTCACTCAGTCGGCTTCGTCTTGCCTGCAGCTTGTCCAAAATGCAACATGGCTCTTCAAGGACAGAGACCTCTCTACACTCCCTGTGCTTATCTCTCTTCACTGGCTACCGATTTAATAAAAAATTGATTTTAAGATTTTTAAATCACTGCGTTAATAGGCTTCAGTGTATATCTGATCTCCCAGCTCCACTTTTGGATCAGTTTACCCCCTCATCATCAGCTCTTTTTTACCCATGTTTTTGAGTGTAAATGTATATTTTTTTTGGTAATTTCACAAGTATCATTTATTTTTGTCGTATTAACATCTCTGTAAAGCGCTAGGTCAACATTTGTTCTTTTTTGTCTACACTAGACTTAACGTTTTTTTTTTTAATGGAAACTGATTTTCAACATCTCCCTGAAGATAAGTGTATGGGCGCGTTACATTCAAGCTGTACGGAGGTAGTTACTTTTGCTTACATTAACTGGTACGTCACCATTACTGCCAACACCTCAGTCCACATGATGGACTGAGGCAATATCCCTCAGTCTATAAACCCCCAAATCTTTGTGAGTGTAAGCTTGTCATTTGAAAATGTATCTTTATTAATTGCCTACATTGGTTACACAACCAATCAAACTAACCAAAAGAGAAAAAAAAATCAAATAAACTGACTCAGGTCCATGATTAGATCATACAGATTTGCCAGGTACAGAGGTTCTAAGTCAAAGGAACTAGCAACAGCACATATGGTAATTAGATTCAATCTGTCACGAAGCAGCTGTTGTATCTGTCAAACACGTATGCTACCTTGAGAATCTATCATGTGTTATGTATAGCCATATACGGCATTTAGGTACATTGGCTCATTTACCAATTACTTAAAATATAACAAATTGATCCCATTAAAACATCATGAAAAAAACTGATACTAATTAAGTCTTCTCTGTCACCACGAAATCTTGACATAAACTCATTGGCAATCATACACAAGATTATGTATACTAATTAGTACAGCTGTGCAATGCTGGCATCACAGGCACAGTGGGGACTGTTTAGCTTTTTGGCAACAGCATAGTACCGTGCCATCACATCAGCCCACACAGAGTGCTACTCCACACAGCCAAAACACTTTGACCTGGATCATTCAGGCTGTGTCAGCTGGTAAACCATGTCTTCTCCTCAAAAATAAATCATCACTGAGTTACAGGGAGCAGCAGTTGGATGGTGAGGGCTATATACATCCTAAATATAATATTACTCCAACTAAGAGGAGGAAATGAGACAGTTATCTCTTTTCTTTCTTGTCTGTCCCAGTTTTATTCCTGCTTGAACAAATGCTCGTAATGTTGCGTTCTAAGACAAAAAGGATGTTATATGAGACACACTTTTGAGAGAAATCAGACATATGCCCCAATAAGAACACATGGCTGTTGCTAAATAAGCTCCCAAGTGGATTATGGAATTTATCTTGACAAACCTTAGTGTGCCATCTATGTGCACACATGCACAAGACAGTGTTAATAATCAGGATGTTTACAGAATTTGTATCCAATTGGAAGATAGAATGAGAGCAGCTGAGCTGCAGGCCATAGGGCCAATAAGACGTAATGATACCTAATTAAATGGCACAGAGCATGTTCCCATGCTGCCTTGGCATGGATGATTTGTGGTGTAACACAGCACATGTCACGTGATTCAGCAAAATTACCAGCATGAGGTTTTACATGCCATGCTGTTCCTGTCTTTCAGTTGCTATTTGATTGAATCTATGAATTGCACGTGCCTTGGCATCCTTAAGGAGCTGTGGTCAGTGTTGGTGATATGCCACGCCTCACTGGACACTCAGCACCAAGCCATCTGCATCTGAAATGCCATCATTGCACATGCCAACCCTGAACACAGCAGGTAGTTGAATCGTAAGAGAGAGGTGGAGGGAGAGGAAGAGTGAGACTGAGACAAAGAAAGAGAGAGAAAAAAGAGAGGGTGAAGCACAAAGGATTAGAAATGAAAGGAAAATGAAGAATGAAAGCGCTTTGTGTGGAGGTGTGATAATCACTGGGCAGCAGATATGGAATTAACTGGCTGCTAATAAGCCATTCCATCAGTCAGACCAGTGGTGGGCTTTACAACCAGCATTTCCAAATTGGATGGAGTTTAAGGAGACATGCACACTGATTGGCTAAATGCCCACCAACCCATTTTCTATCGGAAGCGCTGTGTGTGATCATCTGAGTGCAGTGACTGAACCCATCCTACTCCCTGTCTCCTCTCCTCAATGGCCACCACCCCAGTGCAAAAGCCAAAAGTCCTACACAAACCAGAGCAGCATGGTTCATCTGTGCACCCTACTCTGAAATCAGAGTGGCTCGGCTGGTCTGTTTTTTTTTTTTACCTCAGTAAATCTCATCGTTTGGTGGAGAAGCTATAAATCATTGGTATCATTCATTCATTCACCCTCAGACAGCAGACCATAACACGAGGAAGCTGAACTCAAAAGAGATGGCACTTCTCCCGTTGCGCAACAGGTCTTTGTTCTAACCGGGTACAATGAAAGTAACGGCAAATTTAAGGTTACAGGAGTTACACTGGACGCAAAGAGAAACATCAAAGTTTGCCAAGCAGTGGAGTATTTTAATGTTAACACTCATAACATATTTATTTATTTATTCATCACCTACTTGAATAGCTACATGCAATGTGCGTGGATTAAAAAAAAAAAAAAAAAAAAAAAAAGATGGACACGTTCTCCTCACGTAAAGAAACACTTACCGGGAATCGCCAGGTTGGTGAGCGGGATGGTGTGCATGCTCTGCGGTAAACTTGCCATCCAGTCTGCGAACCGCAGGTCGCTTCTCCCGTGAGACGAAGCCATGCTGCCGCCGTGCACAACGCTCCTTTCTCCCGGACCGGTGCCTGCGCCAACCTTGGGTGCGCTCTCTCGCTCGCGCTCTCTCTCTCTCTCTCTCTCTCTCCACACACAGACACACTAACACATACACACAAACACACACACTCTCTCTCCCTACCTCTCTTTCTCTCTTACACACACACACATACACACACACACACCAGTGCTACTGAGAGCCAGTCCACACCCCCCCCTGAGCAGTATACACATCGGTGGGTAGCACAATTATGAAAATGCGGCTGGATGGATCCAAATATGGCAACATTCAGTTGTTAGATTTACACTAATACTCAATAATAACACTGTAACGAGGGCATATTGTGAGTTTTACAGTCACTGAAATTGGCAAAAATAATACTAATGGGCTCATTAATGATTCTGGCGTTCACCTACACATGATGGGGTTAAAGGCTACTCAGAATTCATGCCGTCATTACACCCACCACTTGACTTCTGCATGTTAAACACAATAGTCGAATGAGAATATATGTCAAAGGTCCATTGAGCTAATAGTGCACTTACTGAGAATAAAGAAGGATTGGAGATGTGCTTCATCTCAATATATGTTTTTTTGTGCTTCTGTAGAGAAACTGGCTTAAGAAGGTTGCCTGTAAATACTAAGCTTAATATGTAATTCAGGGTTGACCTATAGGAACATGTCTCAGGTCATGCACTTGAATGACAGAGAGCAACATGAAAGTGATTCATCATCGCTGTGACGAAGAATAAGTGACATATTCACTGTGGCGATAATCAGCTGGCTGGCCACCTTAAACATGAGTCATTCACAAACTAGGTCACAGCGGTATGAAGATGGAGAATATACTAAAAGCTGCATGTTTTTCATGTCATGTTTGGCTGAACTATTCCTCACAGGAGCCATTTCAGACCTGCACCCACTGCACTCCCATGATGAAGGCAAACTGGGTGACTGTCTATGGCTCCGCCAAGCTTTGCTTTCGGTCCACTTCCCACTTGGGATTTGCGTTCCTGCTATCATGGGTCAGGAGAAGTGACATGTGGGGAAGAGTTGATTATATTAAACCACCGTGGACAAACAAAATCAATACTGACATAACCGCACTGCATAATCAGAAATCACTTTCACTGCTGTGTCCCCAAATACATCTAAAGGACTGTCAAATAATAGGCTTCGCCCAGATATAGGCTGGATGTCACTATGGTTTATCAGCATTGATTACCATTGTTCCGTATTGGATGCAACATCCGTAAGTTATTCGGACTGTAACTTGGATCAAAGCAAAAATGCACTCAGATTTGTGCAATTCAATTCAATTTGTGTATAACAGCATATTTGTTCTGTGTGTATATACAGTATGTCTGTGTGCAGAGATCAGCACAGTGCAAATACTCAGTGCAGAAATACACACGTGATTTGACAGTCTTCATGGTGGTTATATTCCACTGGACGCCCTTTTCTGCTCACAACAGCTCTCAGATCTCCCTGCTGTGTTTGCACATTGCTGCATTTCCCCCAGCAGATACGGAAGTTATTAACCATGTTTTTAAAGTCTTCTTCGCTGGTTGTAATCTGAGGGTAGTGTCTCTCTCTGATCTCTTGTTGCAGTTGGCAGGTGGTTAAAACGTGCAGCTCGATTTCCACCTCCTGCCGTGTGCAGTGGGTGCACAGTCTTTTCTTGTCTGGGGAGCCAGGTCTGCCTGTGGCGGTCTCTCCCCGAGGCGAGGCTGTGCGCTCGCTGAATCTGGATTTCCTTCGTTTTTGAATTGGTCACCAGGGTCAGGTAATCTGCCACTGAGTATCCTCTGTTTGGGGCCAAATAACGTTCCAGTTTGCTCTTGTTTCTGATTGATTCTTTCCAGTGTGCACTTTTACTTTCCTTTTTGTTTTCATATCATTTAATTTGGATTAATGTGGGATCTGTCTGAGCGCTCTGCTTGTGTTTGTGAGCAGAATCTCAGAACCAGCTGGCTGAGGGGCCTTCTCTCTAGGGTCTCTCCGTACGCGAGGGGCTTTTGTATGAAGCGTGTCAGGGTGGTTATAAAATTAAAGAGCTCTTTTTTGAATTTTTATACTTAGCGGCCATCATACTAATTCTACTCTGCATGCGTTATTTGGAGCTTCTCGTTGGGCGCGGTGAGTGGATTGAATCTCACAACCATAAAGGAAAATAGTTTGTATAACACAGTCAAATATTTTAAACCAGATTTGAATTGGTATGTCCAGCTCGATTTTCCATTTGATGATGCAAAAAGCCTTTCTTGCCTTTGTCTCTCAGATTCTTCAGAACTTTGTCGATGTTACCTGTGGTGCTGATGTTTAGGACAAGGTAGCTATAGTTTTTTTTTGTTTGTTCTAAATCTATCTAGAAAGAACTTATATTTGTGGTTTTGGTAGTTGGGTCTTTTTTTTGTGCATCACACAAAAAGTGAAAGACATAGAAATAACAGGAATCAGACAAACCTCTATCATCTAATAAACATGAAGGGGTACATATACAGAGAAATAATGGCTTAAATATTAAATTTTGGTAATTCACTAATAATCATGTAGCTTGACATGTTAAATTCAAAGTGACTGTAGCTGTTAACCCACAAGTCCAGTTTATCATTATAAGAAAAATAGGTTGCAAGTTCAGCATTATAGGGTACCTCTCTGGTTTGACTCATGAGGGGATGTGCCGGATTAACATCAACAGCTGGTGGCAACAGCCCCTGTCACTTTCTTCCATTTTTCTGCTTGATGATCCCACCCAGTTGATCTTCTTGATCCCCAAAGCCCACTGGCTGAATTCTCCAGTTATGTAACAGCCCTCAGGTAATGGCAGCGCCTCTCTACTTGAGTGGAGAAATCACATCAAGAATCAGTCAATGTAAGCCCACCGTCCATATATAGAAAGCTCTAACCTGTAGATTGTCACAAACCATCACTTTCAAAAGCAGTCACTTGCTTTCAATCATTGCATGATTTGATGAGGTGAATAATTTGAACACAGAAGCATACTGTTGCTTGATTATTATTATCCAGATTTAGACAAAAAACAATAGAACTCCACCTTTTCCACTCAGCACACAAAGTTGTGTTTTATTTAATATACAAAGGCAGGAGAACAGCAAATGTCTGAGTACAAAATGTTGAGGCTTCATGTTTTCTGGCTGAAATGCATGACATACCCATCAACTCAACAGCTGAAATATATGTGGCTGAGAGAAAATAAAACAAAACAACACAGGTTGACATAGTTCATCAAACAGTATGTCTTTGTGGGAGAGCTTAGTATCACACTTCAATACTGCATATTTCATTTTCTAAATGGAGAAAAGATATCTTACATTTGCTATTTGGTGCAGCACAAGTTTAAAGATACATACATACTCTCCTCTGTTAATGAGAAATCACCTGAGCTACAGAACACGTTTGTTACTGCAGTTCTGTGTATCGCGTCACAGAAGCTTATTGATCCTACAGGAAAAATGATTAGTGATGAAATATTTGTGAGGTTATTGCATAATTTTTGTTCACAGTACTTAATAGTAACGTTGCATTTTTCGTAGATAACATATAAAGAACAATTTCAGTTTTTAATGTAATATCAGATGGCTTATTTAGTAATAGCTGCACAAACTTGAATTACTAACTTAATGGTGTAAAAGGCAACAATGCAATGTTCCCTAATCATTTGTCATATCAGATCGGAAAGAACAACCATGCATGTTGGCTCCCATTCAGTTAATACTAGTGAGGACTAAATCCTTTTGATATTTGCTTGCTAAATACCAGGGAACTGAGCAGAAGCACTTGTGGTTTAGAAGTTCATTTGGCCCATCTAAAGGCTGCTAAAACACCAACTTTTTACCACAGAGAAATGAAGTGACACAAACCGAAAACACATCTCAGATCCTTTGCCAGCTTCCTCTAGATTTGCTGCATGGCCCTCAGGTTGGGAGACACCTACAAGACACAAGATGGGAAAGGAAATGAATCCCAGTTAGGATCCTCACAGTTAGAAATTGAACTATGTGACCCTGGTATCCAAACCTGTTAAGTGACTCACCTCAAAATCTGTGCCAGTGCATGCCTTGATATCCTCAGGAGTGAGCCCCTCCCATACTTCTATCAGAGTCAGGCCTTTTGTGTTATCCACATCAAACACAGCCTGGTAGAAAGAAAGAGGGCAGAAAGAGAGGGAGGAAGGGAAAGAAAAAAAGACATAATGGTAAGAAGGATTATTTCCTTAACAGATGGTTTTGAACCCTATGACGTGTGGTCAACAGGGTCACAAGACAAGGATGTGGGAGCCCCCCCCCAATAAAAAGTGCCATTGACAGAGGGGCAGAGTTCCACTTCAGCGTCACCCATAGATGACAAATTATCTGCAATTATTGGTGACACATCCATAAAAGTCCTCAGAGAGTGGCCCTCAACTCTCTGAGGCTGGGGCACCTCAAAGAAGTGAGCAATTACATTTTAATTGTTGCACCACTTTTACCAAAAAAAAAATAAAAAATCAATTTTCCTAAAAATAATGGAACTGAAATGTAAAAAGTTAATCATCATTACAGAATGATTCAAGCAACGATGTCATTAACAGATTTGTTAAACCACGATGGCTCTGAGATTGTGCAGGTGCTCCGTCACGTATAGCACAAGAGAACAGGGATGAGATAGTCAGAGACATTGTTGGCATCAAGGAGGCAGGAAGGGATACCAATGTTAATTTTAAAGAACTGAATTCCACCCTATCCAATATTTCCTTGTAAAATTCCTACAACCGTTTGAAAGACTTTAATTTTAGGGCAAAAAAAAAAAAGCCCATATTTACATTAAGCTCAAATGAAAACACTGGATTATCCCGTGTTGTACTGCAGTGACATTGGGTAGACGGGTGAAGCATCTCTTCAGCTGCCATAGCTGACAGTCATTTATCAGTTATGCCGGCCTGGCTAAAAATAGCTTTGTGAATTTTTGTGGCTAATTTGGCTCTTCTCTTCACCTGGTATTATACTTCCCTACAGCCAGGGATTTGTGCTGGATAACTATGAAGAGTTGTTCAAAATATTCACATATGCTCAAGCAAAAATGGACAAATCTGACTTCAAGCTTACAGACGAGCTTACCCACAGGTTATGCACAAAATTGAGTCTGTGTGATTCATAAAGGAGGCCCCCTGGAGATTTTCAGCATCTCTGAGTGTGATTAAATACTGTATCCTACAGTATAGAGCCAAAGGCATCGGTCCAAAACAGGGGAGACGGTGGGACCTTTTTTTAAATTACCATGAATCCTGAATCCTGTCAAACCTGTCAATTAAACAGAAAGTCAAAGTACTACAAATGCTGGAAATTTAAACAAAGATAAAAACAAATTCATGCTGCTCTTGTTGATCACCTTCAGGCAACAGACCTGTTATTATGTCTTTTTCTTATGAGCCAAAATAATTATTTTCATTCTATGAGCCATATCTGTGGTTCCAACATGACAGGGATATAGTTTGTTCTTACCAAAGTGTCATCTCGTCTCAAAGTTGGATCCATGTATATTTATAATAATTATAATAATACAATAATCCTCAACACTGTAATTTTCAGTTGGTACTGTGTTATTTTCTACTGTATCATTGGTTGCTTACAGACTGGAATACATTTTCAGCATAAACATGACCTGTGTGTCTCTACAACACTACAACATGCTATAGACAGTAGAACCTTTACTTTTTTATTTGTCCATTTTTAAATTGTTTATTTGTGGAAACAGTCTTTTGGAGGGATGTGTTCTGAATGTATTGGTGTTTCCACACAGAAGTAGAAAGTTAGCAATGACATTTAATTCAAATAATTTATTTCAAGACTGTTGCTTCTCAACACAGCTGTGACATGGAAAATTAGGTAGGTAACTTTCACAATAACACTTTAAAGCTGAACCTGAAGTAATATTATTATCCCTATGTATGCACACAATGCAAAAAAATTCTTTGTAAAAGACAGGCCAGGCACGCTGAGCCGAGCTGGGTCCTGTGGCTTCTCTCAGCAGGGACTGACAGGCCAAGCCACAGTCACATCCAGGCAACGCCTGTCAGGACTCTCAGCTCATTAGAACCTCACACACAGCGACAGAGCAGAAGGCAGATATCTCACTCCACTATAGCAAGACAGATGGAATGTCACAAGGAACAAAGGTCTATGGGTAACACAGACACTGACATGCATCTCTAATTGTGACACATGTCGCACGTTATTAAGGAAAATTAAAGATTTGTCAAAATGTGTCAGAGCTGGTGGATGTAGTGCGCAGATATGGCAGGTACTGTATTATGTCAGTGTGAGCTCAGTTTGATGTACTCTGCTTTAAAATGTGTAAAACAGAAAAGGTCTGGGTAGGTCAAATTTAAAACAATGAACTATCACCTTGCCTAGTATCTAACAGCCACACTTCACTGAAAAACAAACTGTGGCTCCATTTGCAAAGCAGCCGTTTTGTTGTGAAACTGTCGAGCCCCCTTTCCTCACAGTGTTCAAAGTCAACACCATTAACCAGATTGATGCAGGTTAGTCATTAAGAAACAGCCAGTCTGCCACACATGTTGGCTGGTGAGAAGTGGGCTGAATGTCATGTAACAACCATTCAGCCAACTTTACAACGCTTTAGACTAATGGGACTAAAAAAAAATTAACACTTTAGCCTCCAACAAATAAACTTCTGAAAAGCTTATCTAGTATACTGTCAATGCATTACAGCAATGTCTCGATTTTGACATGAGTTCAGACAAAAACTCACAGTAGGACTATAAAAGGATTTCAATTTGGTTGCTGGAATAGTAATTGCTGTCACTGGCATTGTCTTCATTACAGAAAATGCCACAGGTAACACTTTTCTGGGGCCATTACGACGACTGAATAATTCAGGAGTTGTACTGCTTCATCTGTGAATGACATGGGCAATTATTTTTTACTTCCTTAGTTTTAAAACAGGAAATGATTACCAAAATATCGGTTGAGGAGAAAAATACTGGGAGGCTTAGTGTGTAGACTTTTGTCATGGCAGCAACTCAAGCTCCAGGGGCCATGGAAGTGATGTGATTTACAAAAGATAATAAAAACAAAGCAAACACACACACACACTCACACACACACACACACACACACACACACACACACATACAATCCATCATTTTAATGACAATGCAGCAATAGAAAAAGCTTGTAAACAAGTGAACTGTGGTTAAGCGAGGAGAAATGGCAACATATTGTATAAAATGATCCGGCCATATAGAGAAGCAGCAGAGACACCGCCTGAGGCAACAGGCTCCCTACCACCGAGAGTCTCAAATCATAGCAACACTGTTTAGGACAACACTTGAATCACCATCGCTCCAGGCCATCGTGAGCCAAGGAGGATGCTGTGTTTGCGAGAATATATCGTCTACGTCAGCATCCGTGGATGTGTGCGTCTGTGTGGAGGGAAGAGAATATTGTATGGTAGGTTTGGAAGGCCCCAGTTTCTGCTCCCATTTTGGAAACAAACTGGAGCCAAGGCTTTAATCATGTAAAGACAGCAACCAGCGGAGAACGCATTTAGGATAACCATTATCAGGCTCATTAAAGGCACTGTTTGCCACCAGGTTTATCGTCCCTCATTTTCTACTGCAGAGAGTGGTGATCCACAACAATAATTTTCCTTGCAGCCCACAAGTAATTTTATACACAGTGTTGTTGGTTAATATAGAATGAAAAGCTCTGAAATCAGGCTGCTGGGCTGGATGTAATTAATCTAACTGTAAGTTACTGAATAAAAAGGTTACACTTGACTTCAGACATCATGCCCTGATTGGTTTTGTGTCCAGTCCACGAGACCTCGCAGACTTGTAAATGGTTACTTTTATTGATCAGTGTTCGGCAACAATCACAGATAATTGTTTTTCTCTTCATTTGTTGTCATGGAGAAAGATGTTAGCAGAGCAGACTGTTGTTCTAATTTCAAATGAATTACAGGTTAAATTATACCACAAGGAATCCAATAACCTGTCATGGGCAAGTTGTATTACACTGGAAACAAGAAATAAAGTTTCACTTGCTTTTTGAATATCAGCTGAAAAACAGTGCAGGCCAAATTCAATTAAATTTCAAATAACTTGTAAACATAATGCTGTGAACCAAGCGTAATATATGGTAGAGTAAAATCCGGCTTGTTCACTTGTTAATCCGCAAATTTCTTCAGTTGGTTATTTGGGATGTGCTCACAGTGTCATATGCTTGCTCGTGCGCTCAGGGCCCGTCTGGAGGGGCATATACTGTAGCCACTGGAGCAGGGGTGTGGATGACCAGGGGAAAAATATGGATTAAAACCAAATTGAGTTTAAGAACCACTCCTCCAGATGATGACAGTGAACAATTTTTGTCAATAGTTCAATCTCTGATCAACACTGTGCTGGGCAAACCAGACTCATTATCATTCAGCAGGTAAAGTTCTTCATTTGTTGAATCCAATTTGAATAATGCTTTCTACTTTGGAGCAACTCCGAACAGGATTACTGACAAAAATGAACTGAAATGTAAATTTTGTGCATGTGTAACATGCACGTGTTTATTTCCCTGCCTCCTCTCATTGAATGTGCAGAAAAAAAAATCTACTCTTGTTCTCTGACTCTTCACTAAGGTTTCTGAAACAAGGAAACATAATAAAGTCACAAAGTTCACAGTGACAACAAAGTATGGAAGGCCCCCTGGGGTGTAAATCATATTGTGCAGATTGTTTATTGATCAACCTTGATCAATCAATTCATACATAACATACACATTAAATGCACTTTGGAGTCTGGAGGGTTCTTACATCGTTTAAAAGTCACACTGTTGGAGCAAAAAAGGTGTTTCTCAGGCAATATGTGTGGGTCTTGGCTATCATAAGCAACTAAAACAGAAATTAGTCCTAGTTTATTTCATGGCAAACTTGACTCAGATACAGTATATGAGGGAAGAAGTGCCAAGGAAATTTAAAACAGCGTTTGTCATGAGCAAAAATCAGCTGAGCAAATACAGTATGGACAGAAACCACGTTCACACCAGGCTGACCTCATGGATGTGGAATCAAACAACCAAGAACGATTTTTTTCACCTGACTCAAACTCACTTTTCATTCTATTTTCCTGATCATGGATTCTTATTCAGCTGAATATGCACTATAGGGGTTGCCATTGACCTAGCTTTCCGTGTCTGTTGTCTGTCCACAACAACAGCACTTCATAATACTTTTAATTTGATTGATGTTGTTGCAAGCTACCAGCTAGCCAAGTTAACAGTAATTCCTGAGCTGCTGCACTGACACCCTCAATCAAATCACTACTTTAGACTTGTGCTGTTTGACACCAGAAACAGAAAAACATGTCAGTGGCAGCACCTTTATAGTGCAGTTGGGTATATTGGTTTACAAAACAAGAAATCACTGCGACAGCTGGAGGTGACAAAAAGTTGGCTTCTTAACATTGCCTCCAAGTATGAGTATTTTGGCAATATCTGAGTGGCTGACAGGCTGACAGTCACATGTCAGCGTTTTTGAAATGCTCAGTTTTCCCTGTCTAAACTACAAAGAGAGACTGACACTGTCAAAGGAAGAGAGTTTTCAAAATGCTTACATTTAGGGATAGACAATGCCGGTTTAGTGTGCATGGAAGACCAAATGGAAAGAAAAATATATTTTCAAATTTATTCACAGCAGATGAGGAATAAAGTAGAGGAGGGATGTGGAGGTAAGAAATGAAGGCGGATGAAGAAATAAGAGGAAAATATGTGATGATAATGATGGAAGGAGCTGAGAAAAAAAATCAAGCCGTTAAAAAGACGAGAGTAAAAAGATGTAATAAGAAAGGAGTACTAATGGATAGAGAGGGAAAGAAAGCAGCAGGAGATGAAAAGTGGAAGGTGGAGAGGAGGAGGTACCAGTGCTAGCAGGGTGGTAGAAAGAGCTTTAACCTTTATAAATGTTGACAGAAATCTGCTCGCTGAGAAATGTTGCGCAATCACAACAAAAGCCAGCCGAGCAGAAAAGAACAGACAGGCGGGAAAAAAAAGAAGAAAGCAAGCAAAAAAAAAAAAAAAATACACGGACACACTGTCTGACTTTGCCCCTCACAGGTCATGTTTTCAATGAGCGAGTTCCAAAGGCAGTGGAGGGTAACAGGGAATTGACCAGAGTACATAAGGACACGGAAACTACATCACCACCTCTACTAGCTACCGGAATATTTTTTGGACTTTTTTTTCTCTCTCTCTCACACTCACCTAGCCCACACCTTTTTTTTTTTTTTTTTTTTTACAATCAGTGTTTATGCCTCCTCTTTTCTCCTTGCTCCATTCCCTCTAAGAGGCCTCTATCTTCATTTTTTTTCATCCTTGTATTTTTGCTTACCCTTTGCTTATTTCCATCTTAAAAGAAAATTCTAGCCTTGGACTATCTTGAGCACTTCGCTGACAAGATAAGCTGTACCTGTAACTGGAACGTTTGTCACTAAAACCCTACTTGACTGGAATTACAATCCTGGAGGAATGTGAATGATTCATGCTCCACCATAGCTTCACCATATATACTGCCAAGTACGACAACATATTGCTGTAAATGGAGGCTCTATCCATCAGGTTAGTCAAAAGCCTTCCATAACACTGCGCTCTAGTTAAACTGTGAGGAGCTGATGAGCTTTTTTCTTTAGGCAAAGATCCACAAGCTTTTACAGGGGAGATTGAGCAGTAAGATTTACAAGAGTACACCCTATGGTCTAACTTTTTAATAATGGGAATCAACACCCCCACATGCTATGGAGAAAAGTATCTCCAAAGTCCACCCACACCCAAATCAAGTCCAGTCAGTTTTATTCAAACGTTCCCAGTTTGACCTTTCTTCACATTAGTTGTTTCTATTGTCTATCCGGCTTTTCACCAGAGTCCAAAACATACAGCTGCAGATGGGTTCGATAACCATTGCACAAGCATCATCTCATTCCTGCCTCAGGGCTCTGCTTCTGGCATGTATGGGAGTATCCACAAAATACATAAAAAGGGAAACCCAACCCCAACCATAAAAGTTAAAAAAAAAAAAAAAAAAAAAAAAAAACCATAACAAAATCAATAAGCAGCCTCCTTAAACAAATCAACAGCTTGAATCAACGTTAATTGAACAAATTTAATTTATATCTCCCCATGTCACTCTGTTGCATCATACTACTCTATCAGTTGCTTGTGCGTGCTTGTTTATGCATGTGTGCGTGTGTGAGGGAGATGTAATTGAAAGATAAAGATACAATGTGTGTTTCATTGGGCTCATTGTCTCTGTGTGCCTTGCTCGTTGCGAGCACTGTGATAAAATAAGAATGCAAACTCACGGACTGCAAAAGTTAACTTACTAAAAATTGGTTTTAGTCAATCACTCCCGACTACGAGGTGGGAAATTGTAATACTTTGCAAGATGAACAGTCAGCCTTCGACTAAAAACAAATAAACCAAGGCTTTTTTTTAAATTAATAGTAAAGACACAAAAAAGCAGAAAGTTAGACCTATCTAGGATTAGCTAGAAGTGGCTAAATGATCACCAAGGAAATAACTGAACTGAACAACAATTTAATGAGGATACATTTCCTTAATTAAGCTTGGTATTGCAATAATTAATCAAATACATTTGCAATTTCCCCATGATTAAATTTAGGGAGTGTACAGTTTGGTGTTCTTGCTGGCGTTATTGCCTCTTGCCTCTGTGGTTTCATGTTTTACAAAAAACTTGAGTCACATTTATCCACTTCTATGCTAATACATCTCAAGCAATTCTTTTTGTTAGAAAAATGTTACACGGACTACTTGCAAAAAATTCCCTCATGACAGCAGCATACAGGTCTTTTACAGGCCAAGAGTCCTGCTCAGCCCCAGCTTACTCACTGGTCTGTCCGTGAGAAAGCAGCCCAAGTTCATGACTAATGGCTCATGCTTTCGTCCATCCACTTCTATTTCAATTTAGGATGACGAAGACATATCTGCATGTATAAAATATATACAAAATAAACAGATGAACACACCTTTTCTGTGATGATACGATCCACACACTGTTTCCCTGTCAAAGGCAGACTGCATTTGTCCAATATCTTGTGTTTTCCTCCCTGAAAGAAAAGCACAGTTGGTTAAAAAAAAAAAGAAGAAAAATAAAATACTACACTAAAGGTGAGTTATTCAGTTAAGCTTGTCAGTCATGTCAAACAGTGTGTTTATACTTTGAGGGATACAGCTTAAACTGTAATGTAGCCAAGAATGCAGATGGTTATGGACACTCATCCTATCCCCAAGGGACATACAGCAAATATTCCATTAAAGTGCATATCTCAGTTTCCCCGCCAGTTATCTTTAAGAAAAAGAAAAAAAAAGAAAAAAAAAGCACACGTCCAAATACCTCCAACACTGCCTGAGAAACACATATGATACATCACACACCCCCCTCCCCCCTTCCCCGTCATGAATGAAAACAGGCTTCAGGGCAGTAAATTTATGCTCACCTGCTGCACCATCTGGACTATAGCCGGGCGCCAGATAGGCTCCCATTAGCAAAAAACAGCATGCTTCTGTGAATGCAGAATGTTATGTTGCCCTTGCATCATATCGGTCTGGACTTTCTAAAAGTAAACCAATTCAGTTGGATTGCCTACAGCTATTGTCAGATGCCCTGTGGGGTTATTCACCTCCAGCTGGAGCACCAGTCTAACTAATCAGCTGTTCCTGAAACACTGAGTCCAATTCTAGACTTGCATTTTAAATTAGCCAAAGACGAGCGCACAGGACATGGTTTGTGTGCAGAACCTCATCAGGATGAGCTCACGCTCTCTCGTAGAGAGGCATTAAGCAATCCATTAACAGAATTATCCTTAATCAGTCATAACACTCACACTCATTATCGTGGAAGTAGATACAAGGTATGCTGGTGAAGGTACTAACATGGGAAAAGGAAATTGCCAATTTAATTTGACCTGGATTATTGAGAAAGCGAATGAGTCTTTTGAGACAATTTGTAGAGGCAATGTTGGTTAGAACAGGCACGGTAAAAGCGTGAGCACACACACACACACACACACACACACACACACGCACACACACACACACGCACACACACACACACACACACGCACACACACTCTTACATGTATACGCACCTTAGCTGAGTGCTCCATGGTGACCACCACCTTGGTTCCAGCGCTGGCCACCAAATCCATTGCTCCTCCCATTCCCTTCACCATCTTACCCTAAGAGTGGAAGATAGAAATAAATATACAAGTTATAGATGTAGCAGTTTCAGTTATACCATTTATTTATGGGTTACAATACAATCTAATCCAAAACCACCAATGAGTACAGCCTGAAAAATGACCACAAAGTTCAACAAATTGAATATATAATATATAAAATAAGATTAAAAGAGCATTATTTAAGAAGGGTGGGGAGAAATGACAGCAATACCTTTTTCTCCTCTACTGAACCTATTCAAGTAGGTAACTCTCCCAAAAACAACTCCTCCTCCATCAATATACATACATACATACATAAAGGTTTACAGAGCTGCTGTGTGGCTCTGGGTCTTCAATACAAGGTTATCTTCTAATGTTGTGTGCTCAGTATCCCTGCTCTAATAAGAACCAACACAAAACTTCACACACTGAGACAGAGGTTACAGTGGCAACACTGTAAAGGTTTGCCAATCAAAAATGATTAAATGCACTAGTGACGTCCATAAGTATCTTAAAAAAAAATGCTGGGTCCTATCTATATTTCGTGCTCACTACAATACCTTACTTTTCAACTTAATTGACAAGAGGTTAAACAGTTTAAGAAACAATGGGTGCAATGCAAAACGAAGCCCACAGGTTTCAAATGATTCCAGTTCAACAAATCTGAACCACATATATGGAAGTGGAAAGCAAGTTGAATATACCCATTGTACATTATAATAATCCACAGCACTGCAAAACTCAACAAAACTTTTAATGGGGACCATTTCTCTGGCAGAAAAGTAGTTTGATAGAAAGCAGCTCCAATGAAAAGTGTTGGCAGCGAGTTCTGTGGCTTATACAGAGTAGCAGGGAGGCTGCTTCTGGCAAGACATGTTGCATGTAATTCTATGCTGCGAGCACCACAAACTAAATTACATTTGCTGCCTTTGTATTGGGGTGCGGGCAGAAATGTCAAAGAAAGATATCTCAAAACCTGGGCAAATTAAAGCAAAGCTATTTGAGCAGACAGATACCACTGGAGGTGAGAGAGATATTATGTTTTTTGTAATTGGTTGAACCGAACCTGTGGACCTTTAAATGTAGAGGTAATGTGCTCAAAACTCATGGTTCTTGATTCAGCTTGAGAAGCAGCACTGTACACAATGGTCAAAGGTATCAAAGGACGCACTAGGATGCAGCAGCAACTCAGTGTTTAGTATTCTGATGAATTTAGTACCATTGTAAAAGAGATCTTGGTTCTGTAATGGGGCGTGCTGTAGAGGTGGCTTTCACAGCCATATCTTTAAAGAACATAGCTGGGTGTAAACCCAGGGTAAATCCCAAATCTTCCTTGTATCTACTATCTTGCTGATAGTAGCAAGTCAGGATTTACAGCTGTGCCTGAGCCACACACCTTCTAATCACCTACACCTAGTAACAAGGCTGCTGTTAAACAAAGGGTGTTTTGAGAATTAAAACATCTGTGTTAAATTAGTACTCTAGGTATGATCAATAAGGAGTCAATACAATAATAAACATCTGGAGGAACTTACAAAATTATTGTGTTTTACCGTGGGGGGATTGAAACTTCCACTTGAACCATACTTTACCATGAATTATCAGTCATCAATTTTTGAATGAAAGCTACTTTGAAATGAAATGATGCAGCTACAATGCCTGTGTAACAAAGTAGTGACAGCAGCCAAGCATGCAAAATCAACAATTCAGCCCGTGTCAATCCGTAATTGTGTGTGTGCACATGGTAAAATGTCTCACTAATGCATGACAATGACAGTGACAATGTTATATAGGAACCACTGTCATAAAATAACATTATTGTGGAGACTTTCAGATAGTTATGGGCTCTGTGGCTTACTGAGTATTACTGTCAGCAACCTAAAAACCTAGGTTAAATGCCAAATCTCAATATGCAGAAAGTGCTAAAGGCTTGTGTTAATGGAATAAAAAAAAGGGTTAGGAAATACAATTGTAGGAAATATGAATATGATATCACGGTACCGCTGTCTCTCATTTTGGCAGAAAAAAATAATGTCAATTGCAAAGAAACGTGAGTAAGAAATGTCAAGAGAGCAGAGAAAGGAGAGCCTAACATCTGCAATGAAGCAAACCAAATCTTTTTTCACTTTACCTCTTAAATGAGCTGTTTGAATAATATGGTCAAATTAAGTGTCTGAAAACATGTCTGAAAACTCCAAAGTAGCTACCCAGTAACCTAAAGCTTTGTTTAGTGACAATTTAGTGTGGGAATTAAATAAATAAGTGTTTTCTTCAACAGTTGAAACAAAATCTATTTTTTTTTTTTTTTTTTCAAATAATGGAGCCACGGAATGCACTTTAAAAAAAATCTGAATCAATCTGAAAAGCAAGCAATCTGAAAGATTATCACTGCAACAGAACTGCCAGCTGGGTGAAAAATTGTCTGCAAGTCCTCCATTGTTCCCAATACAGAGGGTTTCCAAATAAGGAAGTCTGACATGCAGATATGGCCACAGGGAGATGGCTGCGTAACTGAATTAAAATCCCATTTGCTCATCAATCATATGAAGAGCCTGCTTTGCTTTCTGCTCGATAACCAGAGGATATATATGCCAAGTGTGGTGCATCATAAGGATACTGTGTGCCTCTGGACAGGCCTGCTGGGTGGAGAAGATATCAACAGAGAGCGGAAGGAGGGCTGGGAGAGGGAGGTGGGGAAGAGGAAGTAGGGAATAGCATAGACTGTGGATATGGGAGAGGCTGCATTTAATTTCATATACTTTACTGTTATCTTGTTGAACACCAGTTGAAAGTGGCCTACTGTAACAGCTTAGATAACATCCTTAAATTAAACCACCAAAATCGATGTTATTAAAACAGTGTACATTTTGACTTGTAACCGTCAAACACAACGTCTCCCCGTTTTTTCCCCCTCTGTGTTTTCATTTACTGCGACTCTTAAGGTGATACTCAAAAAAGGAGACTGTGTCCTTTTTCATATGATCAATTGTAATGCATTTTCTGACAGTCAAAGGGCTAGGTGGTATGTTCACAGGCCCTAGGAGGAGAACGCTGTGTGACCTAATAGTAGCAAGTCAGGATTTACAGCTGTGCCTGAGCCACACACCCTCTAATGCACTCCATCTAACAACAAGGCTGCTGTAAATCAAAGGGGGAATCTGTTTTTGAGAATTAAAACATCGGTGTTAAGTTATGATCAATAAAAGAGTCAATACAATAATAAACATCTGAAGGAACTTACAAAAGGATCGTGTTTTACTCTGGGGAGAATTAAACTTCTACTTGAGCAACATTTTAATAGTAAAAAAAATTATTGGTTGCATGTTTCTGGCAACAGAAAATGTCAGCACCAAGTGACTGGAACTGTTATCAATTTTTGAATGAAAGCTACTTTGAAATGAAATTATGCAGCTACAATGCCTGTGTTATACAGCGGTGACAGCAGCCAAGCATGCAGGATCAACAATTCAGCTTGTGTGTGCGTGTGCATGGTCAAATGTCTCACTAATGCACATAACATTGTTATATAGGAAACTGTGTCATAAAATAACATTGCCGTGGTGATGTACAGAGAGTTACGGGCTCCGTTGCTCACTGAGTATTTTTGTCAGTGACCTATATTGCTGGGAGGATTGTAATTGGCTTGCCTGTGATTTACAGCTTTGCATGTGGTTAACTGAGCCCACTTTGATCTGCTCCATGCAGCAAAAAGCTCACACTTATCATGATCTGTATGTGTTTGATGAAGAAGGAATTTATGCAATGGTGTGATGTGTACGCTAATAACCTATTCCATCCTGCTCACTAAAGTGATTTTTATTCAATCTAATCAAGCCTTAACTTTTGGTTGGCTGTCTGTTACACTTGTTTTGTCTGGATGGGCTTGGTTGCCAGGCTTGTGTAAACCTGTTCACCTGCAACCGTGGCAGCCAAGAATTGGACATTTTTTTGATTAGTTGATTCTTAATATCAGAAGATTTAGAGAATACTATTTTGCAAAATCGAGTGCTTCGTGGAGACTCTCGAAGATGAAGGTTGCCATAGTATCTGGCTTTCCACCTGTGGAACCTGAACGAAAGGACTCAAATGGAACAAATATATTGTCAGAACAATATCCACAAAAAGAGGTATCCTGTGCCTAAGTCGCTTACAAGAGCAGTGTAATTTTGTCATTTAATTAACACAGCTTTGATGACATTAACCTTGTTGGTCTCACTGAAACCCCACAGGTTTTTAATTTCCTCACCACTATGATTGTGTCCATTTGCATGCTGTAATCTTAGCACCATGGGGGGAATCAAGGACACTTAAAAGTGTGTATCTAGACACAATTCATTAGCAGGAGAACATAAAAACATGAAAATACGCTTTGAGACATCTCTCTCCTGAACTAGTAAACTATTGCTCAACTGCTCAAATAGAGACGCATTCATACATACTGTTAGGAAGAACTGTTGTATTATTACGCAACATATTACAGAAGACCTCATTCTATTCAAACGTGAAATTTCATTACAGTAAATATGAGAATTGAAAGGCACTTCTATGTTAATTTTGCAGTTATTTATTTCACTGCTTCACATTAGAGCCGGTAATGAGAAAATCTTCTTGCGCTAGTTCCCACAGATGTTACCTTTTTTCTCTAAACGCCCATTTTACTTTTTTACTGGCTTATTGAACTGTCTCTTTGAAATTAATCCTTGCCAGAGGCAGATATATAGTAGCCTACACGTATGCTAATTAAATAGGCGTTAGAGAGTATGTAAGTCATGGAACATCCATTCATATAATGGCTTTAAAAGTGAGAGATAATATGGGGGGCTGCAGGAGGCAGTATCAGTGGTGCACAACCCAGATAACACAAGACTTCTTAAGTTTGAATCCTTGCCAAGGTGAAACCTATCATAACATGTGAGAGCAGAGACAATGACACAGTCAGTCCCACTCAACCCACAAGGTTTTCTCAGAGGGCCCCCAGTAACACACAACTAAGGGTTTTGCTATTAGACATTTTATAAGGGTAAGAGTAAGCATGGGACAGCAGTGAAACTGCAGTAAAATGCTTTTATACTGTGGTTTACTGCAAATATAACACTGCTGTTCTATCTGTCCAGGATCATGGGGTTACAGGTGTCTGACATTTTTTCCAAAGCAACCTCTGCACAAAGAAGAGTCCACATCCTCTGCCTCGAGAAGGCACATTAAGAAAACAAAAATGTTGTTGCCCTTTTAGCCCTCACAAGTCAACACTGATTCACAAACTAACTGTTTCTATGACTTAGACGATGGGGATTGCTGTTCCCGAAACATGCTGCTGTAGTACTAGTGCGTAAGAAAAGCTTACTTTGACCAGCACTGGATTTCTCTTACTAGGCTTAGGGGTTGCTTGCATTTTTTTGTGTTGCCATGACAACAGAATACAATTTCCTCATTGCTGTGCAAGTGTTCACTTTCCAGTCAGTGGCAGAGACACCACAGAAAATGACCCCCTTCACAATCCAAGAGTTCCCACTTACCAACTGGCTTCCTTTCTCTCCCCCTCAAATTCTCTGACAATCTCCGCTGTCTGATACAAATGGCTCTCTATTTAATAACATAGCGACGGTTCGCCACGAGCCTTCGTTACCCAGACAACTAATGACAAGAATCAGGGTGAGACAGGACTGACAGAAAGACAATGGACAATGAGCTGAAAGTAACTGGAAAACATAACTGTGTGCAGTGTATAGCTGATGAATACAGTGTAATCTATCACATGAAAAAACATTGTTTTTTTTTCCTTGACAATAATTATACTTAAATTCCATTGAACTTGAAATTCTAATCAGAGACGCAGGAACCCTGGGAAATGTGCATTGTAATAGCTTGTAATATGTGGCAATAATGAGCAAAGGTCATATCCTCAAGCAAATTAGTTATCTTGCAGAGTTTCAGATTTTTTTTTTTTTTTTTTTAACAAAAGCTGCCAAATATTGTCAGAGCAGCTCACACACATTTTCATACATGGGAGAACAGAAAACCAGAGAGACAGCGAGAGGTTTGTGCTGCTACAAATACCTAACAGGACATCTTCAACTGATGGTAAGCTGGCAACCATGTCCAGGTAAACCTGTTTATGATACTGCAGAAAAGCCAATGAAGTTCTAAGAAAAAACCACCATGCTCTTAAGCAGCACCTTCATTAATGCTGCCATCAGGCCTTGTCATGAGCATTTGAGCTACTAACTGCATTTTAATAGTCAGTATAGCTTGAGGTATTGCAGCACTTAAGCTGCAGTTCCACTGAGCCTCCAGGAGCTTGGAATATATGTCTGATATAGTGCTTGTTTTCTGTTTGAAGTCGACGACGAGCAAACTTAATTTCATTTTAGTAAAATACACAGCTGTATTAGAGTTGACTGGATTCATTTTTTTTTACTTTGGTCAACTTGAGTCTTTCTTCATTTACAATATCTTACTTTGACTCCCCTCAGATTTGTAGGAGCAAGTGAAAACGAAAGTAGTGCCGCTCAGGCAACAAAAAATCCAAGTCAATAAAAGACAAACATAGTTCTCATTTTGAAAACAGTGTCTCGCTGGCTGTTAGAAATCTGTGAGGAGGGGAAAATGACAGGTAACATGAGTGGCTGCATCTTCTGTGAATTACTGGGTGCAGGACCCTTACATTTAGGACGGCTTGATAAAGCTCCAGCAGCTAAGTGATAAAATAGCACACCAAATCCAAAATACCATGCTTTATTCTATTACCCCTTTCCCTCCATCTATTGTTTTTCCAGATGTTTCAGGCTGAGTGGAGATGTAAAAGCATTTCAAAGCCCTCAACTGGAAAATGTTCATCTGCATTTTGCATATTAAAAGCATTCAAAATCAACATAATCACGCTGAGAGTACTGCATCCCCGACTCCTACGTAAAACATTTCCAATTTCACGCTATGTACCCATCTTTAGATAGTGAATAATTTTCATTATCACAGAAGGTGGGAAATGTAATTCTCTTCATCCATCCCTTCAAAAGAGGGGATAATGAAGATTGAAGCGTAGGTGAGGACAGAGGTATGTGTGCCTGTGTTGCTGCATCATTTTGCTGTTCAAACTGTCCAACACTAGAATGGCCAAAGAAGATAAACTCCCTGCTTCTGAACAACAGCTCCAATGCAGGCCTTCAATATCTTCATAATGTGCTTAATCAAGCACCGGTTAATTAGCAATTACCATGGGCAAACAAGTACAACTGGAGAGGTAAAGAGAAAATAAATTAGGTTGCAAAATTTAGAGATAGCCATCAACAACAGCATTGCTGTGCACATAGCTGCCTTACATGTGCTATACATACACATATACAGTATATATTATGTTTGATTATTAAGGTCTTTATATGTAAACATCTTCAGCACTCTGTGGCTGCATCCACTCGCCTGCTTAGAAGACATGCGTCTATTAAATGAGGCACTGGCTGAAACAACCTTGCATGCACACTTCAGTCAAGCAGAAAACAGCTGTGTGCTGGGGGGGGGGGGGGGGGGGGGGCCATTCTGGTTGAGCCCTCCCACACTGTGAACAGCTTTTTAATGGGTTCTTGACCTTAGTAATCACTGAGGACGACTGTGGCCACCGTGGTCTTAAGACCAATTGACCTGATGGAACACCTAGCAATAATAGGGGCCACCCATTATACTGTACCACTCGCAAACACCCCCCTACCCCTTGATCCCCTGACAAGCATATCCTGGTGCTCTTGAATAACAAAAACCAAGGCCACACTTTTGTGAATTTGTTTCATCCAAGACATCACCATGCACAACATAAAAAAACTAAAACTGTCGAAAGATAAATAATATATTTCAATTATAACCAATATTTCTTATTTCTTATAAGATCTTATGAACTTAAAATCTTAAGCAGGGAATGTAAGAAAACCTCATATAGTCATTACATACCACATCCAGGTGTTCAGAGCACACCTGAAACAATTAACCAATTTGTAAATCAACTGAAAGCTAATTTGCAACTATTCTGATAACTGCCTCATTTTCAGCCAAAAATGCTAAACACAATTTGCTGCTTTGCTTTGTTTTGTATGATAACCATCATCAGTCCCAAATCCAAAACTATTGTTTTTGGGTTTGGGACTGATGATTGGACAAAGCAAGCAATTTGAAGTTGTCCTTTTTGGCTCTAACAAACAATTTTATGTGATAGACAAAATGATCAGGCGAGAGAATAATCAGCAGATTCATCAATAATGAAGGTAACTGTTGTAGTTGAGGTACTAATTCAGAATCAGAGTTTTCCTTAACATTGTGGTTTTTGGTTGATTGCAAAGCCACGGGTCACATGCATTATCAAGTGACAGTCAAACACATAGGAAAATGTTTTAAGTGATATTGAACCAAAACAAATATCAAATATTATACACCACTGGATGTGAACATTCATGAGTTTTTGACTTCTGACAGTCAGCTGTCTAAAGATAAAGACTGAGCAGAAAATTGGATAGAAAAAGGATAGAACTAGTAAAATATCATGAAATCCAAAAGAACAGCACCACGAGCTTTGCATTACTAGAGCATGAACACCTTTCTGCCACAAACTCAAATAAAGACTATTATAAGCTTCAAAAAGCAGCAGCTGGAGCATGCCTATTGTACTGATGTTGTGTTGACTCCCAGCAGATGGAGCAGAAAAGCATGAATTTGGAAGATAGGAACACACGAGTGCCATCAAAACCAAACTCACAGGGATCATCCAGTTGGCTAGGTCTCCGTGTTTTGACACCTGCATGGCTCCCAGCATTGTCAGGTTGATGTGACCCCTGGAGAGAATGATACAACAGAGGAGGACAGCTGTCAACTTGAGATTCAATTCAACTTATGAACTCACAAGTCCACTCCAAATAAATACATGTAGTACTGCTACATTTACCCATTTTTTTTGTCATACATGACAAGACATATAATACAAACGCTTTCTAGATAATAATAAGTAAAACACTAAAATAACTATGTTTTATTTTAACAACTGTATCATCTTGCTACATTTTTTCTTCCTAAAATATCATTTGTATTTTGCATGTTTACTCTCTGGTTGGTGTGGAGGTCTTCAGATCCTTTCTAGCTGCCACATTAATTAACTCTTACATATAGATGTACAATATCAGCAGATTCTGTAGGCAACGTTGTTATTTCCACTCTCTAATAATTTGTGAGTCTTTGTCCTCAGAGAGGAATTTCTTTTCCTGTTTCTCCTGAATAAGGGGTTCAAAGTCCAAAGTGAGGTATCCTACAATGTCTCTAGAGCAGGTAGGGGGCATTGTTAGGATGCTGCAGTTGCATAGATTTACAACAGGATCTATGGCACTGTTGCCTACAGTAACACCTTATTGACTATCTTATTACCTCATTGTTTCTCCATTGCACACACACAAACACATACAGAGATGAAGAAGTGATAAAATTTTGTGATTACAAAGTACAAGTCTAAATGTAATCCCAGTCCTAGATGTACCTGGTGTGGTATTGCAGGAAACATGGCTAACAATCCACCATATGTTATGTCATGCTTCTTTGGCAACTCTGGCCCCTTAACTGTGTTTGCACATCAGCAAACACACACACACACACACACACACACACGGTTGCATTTGGTCCCCGGCAGTGGGACTAGACAGCGCTATTTATGAGCAGTATTGAATTTCCACTGGGTGGACAAACAGAACTGATGCTGCAGGGAGTGCGGGTGGGCAATCTCAGACAGCTGGCAAATCAATAAAAACCAGGGACCTTGGGAATGCTGTCTAGTTGTACTGGTGACAGTAGCCATTTATTAATATCCAGTGTCACAAATTATGGCTGTGTTCTATGGTCAAATCCTGCCTAATGGTTACAGCTGACTTATGGTGCAGGTGACAAACTATTGGATTACGGGGAAACTTGATGAGTGTGTTAACTGTTTTTTTTTCTTTTTTATATAAACTGTACTGAGAAGCTCATTGAAGTGACTCATGGTGATATCAAAAGTATTAATAAGCTGTCTACATGTAAATCCATGTAAATGTCGGGTATATCTATCTTTCAGTCAGCAAGTTTTCAGAGCTTACCCACGGATCATGGCAAATGACTCATCACTGGAGAAATAAGCAGCCCCAGGGAGCACTGTGACGGTCTCCTTTCCTACAGAACACAGACTTGACATGTTTGATTTATTTTTGGCAAAAGAGAATATTGGTATTAATTTATCATAGCAGTAATACATTACATATAAACATAATTACAAATCAGGTAAATGAAATGAAAAAAGACATTAAATAGAGACATAAAAATAAACAAATAGATGACTAGAAAAGAATCTGCATTCATTAAGATCTGATGTGAAAGAGAAACCAGAGGTGTCAAACGATAATAGGTTAATATCACTTTAAATGTGAATCTGAACAAAATGTTAAATGATCATTATATTGTATTTAGCATTCATGGAAAAAAAAAAAAAAAAAAAAGTGTCTGCACAGCGTAGGATTTCAGTAAAAAGGTCTCTTCATCCATCCAGAATTTAGTTAGACAAATTTTTCCACATTTTATATATAATTACATTTACCATTGGGAGCTAATTATTAGGGTAACCCTCACCAGCGTTAATCAGGTCCGCATCCACCGCATCCTCAGTGGGGTACGGGCCCTAAACCAAGAGAAATGAAGACAAATATGAATGTGCACAGAGGCGGGCAGCCACACATGCCACACTCACACATGTCACTCAGCCTGACCGGCCATGATCTTTCAAAGGAGAGACAGACACAATCACATTTCTCTGATTAGATGAGACATTGATTTTCTCTGTGTTCAACAAAGGGAGCAATCCCTTTTGGAGACATGAGGAGAGGGGAGGGGAGGAGAGGAGAGAGGAGAGGAGAGGAGAGAGCCGTACCTCTGTATAACTGACACTCATAATTAAAAGAAATTTTGACAAATAAGGCATTAGCGTAGGCGCTTACATTCTCCTGTCAACACAACTGATTGGAAAGTCATTCGATAGCAGCAGCCTTTGTTGAAGGCTCAGCCAGCAAATAATGATTGTGAGAAAGAAAAATGGAAGAGAAAGTGTCAAACTGCCACAATCTGTTACATAACAAACTCAGCACATTTCAAATGAGGGCCCCAACTAGCAATGATACAGCTCAAATAAATGGCTATTCATTTTGCGACATGCTCAGAGCACAATTCAGACTAAGGACGTTTACTGCTGCTTAAAATGACTGTCTACACAAAGGACAGAAAATATGCTGCTCGTTAGCTTGTTTAGTTGAGATTCAAAGCTCTGGAAAGTGAGGGGGAAGAAAACTCTCTGCAGGCGTCTTACCAGTCCCAAAATTCCATTTTCACTTTGAAGATGTACAGTGATGTCTGGTTTTATGAAGTTGCTCGCCAACATGGGGATACCTATACCAAGGTTTGCTGATTAGCTCTTAGTTAAAGATAGTAACTATTTCATTTGTACTTATGCAATGAAAATCATCTGTATACAATGCACAGCCTCCTCTTAAACCACCTTGGACGCATCAGTCATGTTGTCAAGTTGTGTGAACGAGCTCAAAACATCTGGACTGTGGGGGACGCACAAACCCGCCAAACTTTATAGTCAGTATAAACATTGTCAGCACACCAAAACTGTCATGTTGAATGATAGGAGAATGTGAATAAGTCCACAAATCACTGAACTGTTACTCACTAAGGCTGCTTTCTTGAGGAAGGATGAATGCTATCACAAAGACATGAACATTCTAAAATAAAAACAAATAAAAAGAATTTGCATAATTTGCCAATGCAATCATCTACTGCAAAGGCAACAATTATTCATTATGCTGTAAAAGAAAGAAGGCCAGTGCACAGCTTTCATTCTTCTTTGGCTACTGGCCAACACCTGGTCTTGTTTTACTTGCGGTAATAAAAAGGGAGACATCAAGAGCACAAACTTATATGATTTGTTAATTCACTGCTTGTATTCTTTTCAAAGGATACCGTACATCCCATCCTCAAACTCCAGAGCAGCCCGGCGAATGATCCTTTCCCGAACAATATCCGAGTCCTTCTTTGGTTTGGGCTTCTGTTCCTGGCTTTTCCTTACTGTGCGTTTCTGGAACCATGCAAGGATACAGTATAAAAGAGGAAAAGACAGCATCCTGAGAGACTGTTTCTAGCTGAGTACAAGGACACATATAAATAAGAACCAATAGTTTCTGAACAGTGGAATGTGAAATGTGAAAACTCTGTTAAAATTACTCAGTCAGAGCAGATCAGGATTAATCATGTATCATTTAAAAAAAATTCAACTAATTGGGTAATGGAACATGACTTACAATAAAGTGACATCCACATAGCGACATAGTCCAGAAGCTATAGAAAGAATGGACACAACAAGCTGTTTCATGCCTTTTATGTATAAATGCAAACCCTGAGAGGCCTTGTTTTGTACCTCAATCCTTTTCTCGTAGCTGGCTCCCTTGACAACCTTGTGGACATAGATGCTGGGTATGTGGATGTCCTCTTCAGCAAAGGTCCCAACGTCCACCACCTCCTCCACCTACACAGAGACGCAGAGTGATAAACTCCACCTTCGCCTGTAAAATGTCTCACAACCCTTGAGATTAAAGTTCAGATAAGGACACCATGCACTGATGTCATTGCGTGACCAGGAAATAACCTCTGCCTACGCAGCTATGAAATATAACAGATTAACTGATGAAACCCAGCTGATTCTTTTTTGCCTCTCTGCAGGCTAATCTCAAGGAATTACATTAGGTCATTTTTAAAGGTTCATTCCCAAAGAACACTGATGGGGATGCACAAGCGGACATTTAATCTTCAATTATGATTTCACAGGTTTAAAAATTCTGCCCATTTCATGACTTTCACAGCGAAGGCAGGGTAAATATTTGTGGGAGAGGGTGTTAAATCTATTCTTTTCGCAACTCCACTGAGTCCAGCTTGGCTGACTGAAAACAGAAGAGGATCATCCAACACTCCAAGCCCCAGGGACGTAGCTTGATCCTTGGATGAAAGGCGATGGAGAGTAGGGATGTGTGGAGGAGATTGCATTGGTGTTGGGAGGACTTTGGTCAAACCAAACACAGAGGTCAAAACAAACTTAGACTTTTTACTCCTCTATGTTGAGAACAATGTACAGCTACACGTTTTTTTTTATCTTTATGTCTATTCCACAGGCTCTGCCTCAAGACTCCCTGAGGTTTACATTTTAGCTCGACTTATTCTCACAATCTCAGTGGCGCTGGACTCTTTCGTCGTCTATATATACCCTCACAACACTTTAATTACTCGCATTTAATATGGCGACATGATAAAGGTATGTGTCTCAGATATTAAACAGACCATATATTCCTGGCTCTGAGACAGAAGTGCATCACCTTTGTGTAGAAAGTGTCCAGCAGCAGAGGAAGAGTGTACATAAGCTTTTATTCCTGTCTGACTAACAAGACACAGATGGAAATGGCTATTGATTTAAGCAGAGTTAGGTCAACATGACTGGGATAGAGATCCCACCACGAGCGCACCTGCTCCCTCCTCCTCCTCAGGTAACATTACAAACTGCTATCAACTGAGCCTACAGCCTCCACTATACAGGTGTTCAGAAGAGCTGTGCAGCATGTGTGGGCTCCACTCATTCCTGCGGGACCATTTTTAGCCTGCTCAAGCTCCTAAAATTGATACAGTGCATTCAGAAAGCACTCACACTCCTTCACTTCTTTCACCCTTTGTTATGCAGCCTTATGCTAAAGAAAAAAAAAAGTTCCCCTCATCAATCTGCACTCAATAATCCATAACAACAAAGTCAAAACAAAATTTTTGATTTTTTTTTTTTACAAATTGATTTAAAAAGGAAAAACTGATATATCACACTGACATAAATATTTACACCCTTTACTCAGGACTTAGTTGAAGCACCTTGTCTTGGGTCGTCTTGGGTATAACAGGACAAGCTTTATAAACCTAGATTTGGGGATTTTCTGCCATTCTTCTCTGCAGATCATCTCAGGCTCAGTGGACAGCCATTTTCAGGTCTGTTGGGATGGTATTGGGTAGTTGATGCAGTGATGCGAGCGGTGCCTGGTTTCCCTTCAGACATGACACTAAGAATTGATGCCAAACAGTTCAATCTTGGTTTAATCAGACCAGAGAATGTTGTTTCTCACAGTCTGAGAGTCCTTTAGGAGTTTCTTTTTTTTTTTCCTTCTTCGCAAAGTCCAAGCAGCTTTAAAGTGTCTTCCACTGAGCAGAGGCTTCTGTCTGGCCACTCTGCCATAGAGCCCTGATAGGTGGAGTGCTGCAGTGATGGTTGTCCTTCTGGGAGTTTCTCCCTTCTTCTGCCTAAATCGCTCTGTTTGGCCGTGGAGCCAGCTCTGGGAAGAGTTCTGATAGTTCCAAACTTCTTACATTTGAGAATTATGGAGGTCCCTGTGCTCTCAGGAATTTTCAAAGCAGTACAAATTGTTTTGTAGCCCTCGCCAGATCTGTGCCTCGACACAATCCTGTCTCTGAGCTCTGCAGGCAGTTCCTTCCACCTCACGGCTTGGTTTTTGCCCTGAATTTAAACAACTGTAGCATGAGGCTGCAACATAACAAAATGTGAAAAAAGTGAAGGGGTCTGAACACTTTCTGAATGCACTGTATATCATGTTTACAGTAGCCTGTTATTAAACACAGTGGTCCCTGGGATTTTGAGTAAACATAAGAATCAAACTAAACTGGGAAGTGATCAACAGCAAGCAGAGAGAACTTGTTTTTCCTTTATCACACTGAAGACGCCCTAGCAGGGAGGAGGTGCAATTTCTTTTTTCCTGAAGAATCTTCAAGGGGGAAAAGCCCTCGAGATGACACAAAATTAAAAGGAAAAGAGTTATCATCACATCGCTGGGGACTAAAAGGGGATTTACCCATGACAACATAATTCTCGCCCTCTCCTCTACTTTTCTGTGCTTCACTCCTGTGTGGCTCAGAGTGTAACCTACTTATTCCATTTACATGAGGGGCAAGCAGCCGTTCAGAGCAAATTGAATTGAATCTCTCTTTATCTCCACTTCCTCCCTCAGCACTCAGCGCTGACTGAGAGGAGTCAATGGCTAAGAGTGGATCCCATCTTAGCGTTGTCATGGATACGCAGGCTTTGGTCTGTGGTGAGCTAGGGCCACTGAGGACCGTAAAGTGATTTTAGACTCTTTTTCTGGTTCTCTAAGGTTGGGTTATGGTAAATCTCTGACGCTCCACACTGAAAATGAGGCCATGCAGGATGAGATTGGTAGCGCAAGAGAACTGATACAGCAGTCCCACACATCCACCCACAGCTTTCTCTGGGGGCTTGATCTGTCTTTTGTGAGAGTGATGATTTCCATAGACGTCTTCATCAAGCAAGACTGCACGCATCACATTATAAAACCGTAACAGTAATAAAATAGGGAAGACTCGGGGCAAGAGAATCACTACAAATATTTGGTGGCATGAATTTCAAGACTTCAGATGAATGAACTTAATTAACAGTGTTAACCCCTAATTGTGAAAAAAAACCCCAAAAAAACAAAAAAAACAGAAAAAACAGAAATCACACCTCAGAGACTCAGAGATGGTTTCTCCATGTCCGTCTGTTGGTCTCTTACACACATGCAAACAAACCATGTATTCAGCTCAGTTTTCAATTAGCCTTCCAAAGCTAAGTCACAGCACAATAACAAGCTCATACAATTTAAATGTGCTGTGTACATAAAAAAGCCTCGGTTCCTTTCATCTAGGTGATGTGTCCCGGCTGCACCGGTGCTCAGATGTAGTTCAGACGGGAGGTTGAACGGACGAGGAGGGATAAAGCATTAAAACATAATAATAAAAAACACACAAGAATAACACATAGACACGCACGCAAATGAGCAGGTGTGTGGAGCAAGGGAACAGGCACACGCATAGGCACACACACATTGATATTCCCGTATCTGTAGAACAATTTTCACATCAATGAGAGCAGAGCGAGGCATGAAGTGAGCTGGCAGGAGGATAGAGGGAACCAAAGTGCCCTCTGGGGACACAACAAGCCTTTTTTCGAGAGTGTCTGCTTTTTTTAGGCCGTGAGCTTTGTCAAATATTGTTAATCTCAAACTGATTGGTACACAATGCTACCACATTCCTAGAATAAACCACCAACAACCAAAACAAAATCAAAACAGTGCTACATTTACAGTTTGGCCACATTTTTAAGAATAGACAGTTGTTTATGTTTTCCATTCATTTTAGTGATTAGCATGACTGAGTAAAGGTATTCATTTGAGTTGATTGCACTCCTGTTGATCATCTGGGTTACATTCCAGTCGCCAAATTAACAAGCAGGAGTTGGAGTATATGACGGTATAATTCTGTCTGGTCCAACAAAATGTTAGGAAGTGAATGGCCTCTAGAAACTAAAATATTTATTACATCCTCAATTACAAAAGGTACTGAACTGAATCAATGAATAACATCGTTGAATTTACACGCAACAGTGATGGGTGCAAAACTGTGACCGACACTGCACAACTATCCTAAAACTGGTGATGAAGTAGAATTTGGCTTTTAGAGTCATCCAAAACTAATTTTTCCTCTGATAATCATTGACAACCATGGTACATTTAATGAAAATCAGGTCATTCATCAGTATCTTGTGCACACAAAATATCAACATCCAGTTGGCAGGATGACATAAAATTTACTGAGCAAATTTTTTCTCCCTTGAGAACTGACCCCTTTCCTTTTAGGACACTTTTGTCAAATATTGTATGCAAGTGGAAATCTGTCCTGATGGTTGTGCTAAAGTTAAAGTCTGAGCCTCACTGAAATTAAAAGGAATTTTCTACGAGGGGACATGAACGTCTACAGCAAATTCAATGGCAATCTGGAAAGTAGTTGTTTGGTTATCTTATTTTGGATCACATTTCCACCCTTAGGCTCAACTAGTGGGGCAAAAACTTTACTCAGACAGAGTTGAAACATTTACTAAACTGACCAAAAAGACCTTAATAAAACTGCGTCAGCTCAGACTGCAAATTTATCAATCTCAAGTTTCGATTTTTAATTTCAAACCAGATTAATATAACGCCTTGATTAACTAGGATATTACAGACAAGCTTCAGTAGCTAATACTTTAATTATAGAGTTACCTGATCTTATAATCCATCATGTCTTTATTTTGTTTGGGTGTATGCGTGTTTGCCCGCATACTGAAATGCGACAGCCAGGAGGAGGAGATGGTGTAGCTACAGGCGACAGAGCATGAGGATGACAGCGACACCCCACTCTCATTACCCTGTGTATTTATAGCCTCTCCATCTTCCTCCCAGTGCATGTGCATGTGTGTTTGTGTGCGTGTGCATGTATGTATGTGTGTGTGTGTGTGTGTGTGTGTGAGAGTGTGGGCACTTGGCCATGCTCTGCTGCCACTTTCGGGGCTCAGCTCCGGCTTTATCCTCTAACCCAGAATACTGACAACATGAGCAATCTGTTTCCTCTCAGTGGAAGCTTGCCTCATCTATGACAGCCTTTATGGTATCC